CAGTCTCTGCAGTAGCTTCCAGCTGCAGCAGTCAGTTCACTTTCTGTTCACTCTTACTGAGGGAGGTTTTTGTACGACGCTTTTTCACTGTGTGAACACCCACTGACTGTTGATAGAGTGGAGACTCTGACAGTAGTAAACTCCTGCATCTTCAGCCTGGACTCCACTGATGATCAGAGTGAAGTCAACTCCATTCCCTGCTCCACTTCCACTGAATCTGGAGGAGATTCCTGAAAATCTGTCTGATGTGTAGTAGATCAGAAGTTTAGGAGCTTCTCCAGGTTTCTGATGGTACCAGGACAGGTAGTATTGTGAACCAGAGCGATGAGTTACTGTTGGACTGGCCTTACAGTCAATAGAGACAGTCTGACCAAGCTGCACTGATTTGGCTGCTGACTGAGTCACAACAACATTTTGTCCAACAGACCCTGAGGAGAGAGAAGAAACACTGGACATGAGATGGTGAGGTGAAACTCAGCTACACTCCAAATGATTTTCACATGACAGAAAAATGATGTTCCTCACCCTGAGTGAAGCAGAGGAGAGTCCAGATGAGGACGGAGACCAAAGTCATGTTTCTGATGAGGAGGATTTCTGTGTCTTCTGTTGTCATGAAGGACAGCTGTCAGTCATCCAGTCTTCAACTCTCAGGACTATAAACTCTCCCAGAGCACTGGAGCATGGTGCTGCTGATGCAAAGTGGCTCTCTATGGAAATGCTCTGACTGACTCCACTACTCTCTTTCTACTCTCTGTAACACTCTTTCTTTCTTTCTCAGGTTCTGTCTTTCTCTCTGGTGTTTGCTAGTTTTCTCTAATGTTTCTAATTTCACTATTTCCAGAAAATAAAGATCTGTTCATCAAATAAATTCAGCTTCAGTCAATAAATTCTGCTTCCAGAAATATATATTCAGGTATCATCAGCATAAAGAGAAATCCTGTAACTTTACACTCACTCTTCAGCTCTCTCTCTGTCTCTGTTTAAATGTGGATTTATTATATATCTCAATAGTGCTGTTAGCTTCTAGTGATGCTGATTTTTTCAATATTTCATGACAAGCAAGACTCTTTATTTTAAAAAAAAATAATTCTTCATCTTGTAACTTTGAACTTTGCAAAGCAACTAGGTTGTGATTTCTTTTCTTTGTGGGATGACTCTACTTTTTGTTTGCTCTCTTTGTCTTGTGTAGCTCTGATAAATACTTTCTGGTTCAGTAACTTCTGTGTGACCTTTATTGTGGTAACTGCACTCCACATCTCCACATCAAGACGACCTGGTGTCCATACTGTGTTGTGGTAGTGGCAGTTCACTGTTGTTGGGTCTTTGTGTTGCTGTTGGTGTGTGGCAGCAACTTTGTAGTTCATACTTGTTGTGATCCTTTTGGCTTGTGTCTGTTGCTCTCCACTTTTTGTGTTGCTCACCTGTGTCACAGTCAGCGACGGCCCATGACACAGGCAGTATAGGAGAATGCTAGCAGCGCAGTCATACATAGGGGGCGCTGCAAATGGGGGAAGAAAAAA